GTTCGAAGTTTCGCCGAACTTTCTCGTAGTCTGATTCCGTAGTTCAGTTTGGATTTTTGTCAAACAAGTCATAATTGGTTGTTAGGTCCCTTGTAGCCTGTGAATATAATCCACAGGACTTCTAGAGTAACACAGAGTAAATACTTTGCGGGAAGATGGCGTCTTTCTGTAGTTCAGAAACTTTTGAGGAGGGGGGGGAGAGAGAGAGATCAGTAATTTCTCAGCTTCAGATACTGGATCGATTAATATCTCGAGATACAGCGTCATCATCGCAGTTTCTGTGCATATCGGCTCGTCGGCAGAGGTCAAATTCCGAGTGAACTTTCCATTTTTTCATGACTTCTGAAAGGCCTAAAAACAATTGAAAGGAGAACGCAGACCAAATAAAAGTTTGACATTTGTTGAATATTTAATATATATTAATGACACGACTTCGCTCTAGCTTTCATTTTATTTCCTTCGTATGGCAACGCGTGGAGTGTCTGATATTTTAGAAGTAGTAAAATGAAAAGGGAGAGAAGACGAATTGATGAGTTGAAGAGGATAAGAGAACGAAGGAGAATCATAAGAGGCTTTGTTAAGTTAGAACATGCATAGATAATTTAGGTTAGAGTAATTTTACACTTACGCTTGCAGAATATACGTAATTTAACAGCGAAATAGGTTAGTATTTAAGAAGCTTATAAAACTCATAACAGAGTTAGGAAACAAAGTAGAGTAATTTGTATGTAATGATAATTTAACTTCGTTATAAATTGTGCATGTAATGCCATGTAATGTCTGAATTAAGGGATTTTCAGTTGGCATTTTCCTGAAAATCTCAACATTCGATTGTCAAGAACCATACAGCCTTTGTAATACTTGAGGGTCCCAGTTTCTACATTCGTTAGAAATTGTAAAATTATTTTCTGCTCTCGATTTCCGAAATACATTTAAAAAATGACTACATTGATTTTTTTTTTTTTTTTTTTTTTTTTTAGAAATTCTTAGAAAATGTTATTCATCGTCAATTTGTTTTACAGTTTGTATTCGTTGAGATTCTGTGTTGAAATTCGAGTGAAAAACGGACACTTAAACCACTTATACTTGTATCACTGTGTTCATACTTTTCCCTTGAATCTTTCTAGCACAAAAATACTTAAAATTGTATTTTTAAATTTACATTTTGACAGATTTAATGCACTATTTGGGGGGGGGTAATTCTTCGTTACAACAGTTATTTAACACGTCTAAAATGACATATTATTAGGTAATGTTTCGTGTTTTACTTTAATTAGAGCTGTTCGTATATGTGTTTGTTGAGATAATTGTTTATGACAGTTACATGATTGCAAATAATTGAATTTGTGAATTAAATATCTTTAGACGAACTCATGATGAATATTCTGGGATGATAAATGAAAAAGCTTTTAAAATAGACTGTCTATTGTTAACCGCCTATTATTATAGCAGAAACTGTATATAGTGCGATGGGTCTTAAAGCTGTTTTTCCTTTGTGATTCACGTGGTTAGTCTATTACTTGTCAAGTCTATTTATTTATTGTTAATTTGTTTTCTGTTCTATAACTGGTTATTGTCTTAAGTGGCTTTCTTAGACATTTAGAAAAAATATATTGTAATAATTCTCCTGGAGATTATGAACTGATTGGTATTTTGGAGATTGCGAAATGAAGACTTCTTAATCGGAACATTTCAACCTAAGAGTAAGGGGAAAATTAAAAGAACTGCATAATTTTTATTCTTCATTATGTGATATTAAGGTGATCAAATTAAAGAGAATGTGATGAGCGGGACATGTTTAAGTGGGAGACGTACGTGTCGATATGAGGATAATATTAAAATGAATCTCAAAGGAATAGAAACTTTTGAGATGGTAGCCACAGTACCGAAGCGTGATGTGTTATCCTAAATATTAATCATTGGATTTATCGAAATTATGAATATAAATTTTTCGTTTATTTTAATTAATTTTATTTTGGCTGAGCCGAATAAGAAATATTCTTTTGTTTCTTTCCTGTAGATTAAAAGTGTTAAAACACTCTTGTGTGTGGCAAAGAATTGCTGTTTTTGCAGACTTTTTTTGTTGTATCTCGGTGAGATAAGAGGTAATTAAGAGTAAGCAATTAGAAGTACATTTGAATTCTTCACTGAGCTACCGTAACGATTTTTTCCCCAATTTCAAAATCTGTCGCTTGTTAATTAGCCTATTCCGTACACTAACGAACCGGGTCATAATTGCTCATTCAAATGGTAGACTTCATAATTTCTAGGAATTCTAAATTAAAAATGTGTTTAATTACAAACTGCGTTTCTCAGGTAACACGTTCAGAATCCCTCTTGACACTTCGAAATGTAAACAAAGGATCTGCAATGCGAGATCTCGGGTTCTCACGGAGGCGAGAATGATGATTATGTTCTTTTTGGTCATGACATGGTTTTACTCAAGAACGTCGGTATCTACACGTCATAACCCAGAATAATACGTCATCAGATGATCAGAAAATTAATGATGAAAATATGTTACCATGGAAAATATTAAATTATCGTCTCGTTTGCTATCCAAAACACTAAAGATCAGGCTATATAAAACAATAATATTTCGTGTTGTCTTTTACGGTTGTGATGGGCTGGACATATAAGGCGCATGGAGGGAGGAAACAAGGGGTGAATACAGAATTTTGCTGAGAAATCCTTCTGGAAAACTCAGACCAAGAAGGAGATGGTAGGTTAATATCAAGATGGATCTTAGGAAGGTGAGCTGTGAGGATGGAAAATTAATGGAGTTTTGGCTCAGAATCGTGGCCGGTGGCGAGCTCTGGTGTTGGCGGTGTTCGATCTGTGGATGTAGTTAGAAAATACTAAAATTATATTCCTTAAATACATGGTAACTGGATGAGAAGATACCGATAACAAACATCCATTTATTTTTAAATATACATCCGATATATTCATATCCATTTATTTCCGAGGTCAGGATAGAGTGGAGCCTTACCACCACTAGCCATGGCATGATTCTTAATATGTACGTACCAGGGACAACTTCACCTCAGTTTTTGGTAGTAGGCGATATAATGTATTTCACATTTGTCTGTTATTAACACGAAGTCGTATTTTGAAGCTAAGTCAAGAGATGCTTTGCAAAATTTGAATCTGGTGCTGTAATTTCTAAGCTGCTTGTCACCGCCGTGTCAGATTAATAACACCTGTCATAGTTTGACATCGCGCTCAGGCAAACCACAATAGAAATCTTGAATGTGTTACGACGCCTTAGAAATTCAGTTCTCATTGACATTCTCAAGTCTAGCAGAGCCAAATATAACAGAACTGATTGGTTTCTTACAGCGACGAACACGTAAATTATTTGAGGTTTGAGGTTTTCACGGCGGTGAGTCCGACGATGGCTGTCTTCTGGGTAATCTGGTACAAGTTTATCGACGTTTCAGAGGTCATGCTGTTGCCTCCATCGTCTTCTGAGATGAGTTACCATGTTCTCTTGTACGCGGTTACCAATGGTTTCTTAAGAACATGCCGCCTTCATCTTCATGAATGAAGGCAGTAGTAGGACCTATGAGGGAAGACGTCACTGGATGAGGGAAATTGCAAAATGAGGACCTTCGTAATTTATACTCTTCACTAGATATTATTAGAGTAATTAAAGTAAGGAAATAAGAATGGTTGAGGTATACAGAACGCATAGGAGAGATAAGAAATACGTATAAAATTTTGATTGATAATCCTGAAGGTTAAATACAGCTTGGAGGACCTAAGTTTAAATAGGAGGATAATATTAAAATTGACGGTGTGAGCTGAATTTGTTTCAGGAAGAAGCAGGGTTGCATACACGGCGGGGAATGTCTTGACTACCTGAGCTACTATTAGCAACTGGGATTGGGCGAAAATTATGATACATCTTGTAGCTTACTTTCTCTTTAGAAGGATGCATCTTGCAACATACTAGGATGAGCCAGCTTTATCCTCTCATTTTATCTTCCTATTGCCTTTAATGTATATTTTCCATCTCTTACTTGGACTTGTATATATATGAAATTATAATGCGTGTCGCAGTTGAGGGTGGTTTCGCTCGTGCGTTGTACTTCTTCGTGTTCATTAATCATTGTCATTGGTTTTATCTCTCAGGTGCGAGACGTCACAGGAATAGAAGTTCATGAGAAATATAGAAACAGATTTTATTTGAAATATTTTAATTGTACTTCTTATATATTTACAGACATTCATCATTGTCATACTGAGTGCTGTTTATAACGCATTCATCCATCTTGGTGACATTTGCGCAGATCCACTTTAAACTCAGTTTTATATACACGTTTTATAGGTTACTTAATTTCCGTGCTTTAGTAATGTACATTTAGATTGTGCACAGACAAATTCCCATGTTTATACAGGAAGTTATTTTAAAATTGGGGTGTATATTAAGGGTCTTTGAATAAGTATATGACTTGTCTCGTAATTCAAGTACCACACCAGTTCATAACCAAAATGAATTATAAAAGTTTTATTTGTGGTTATAAATTTACTGTTACTGCGATATAAGTTTTGTTTTTGGTCAAGAAATTAATTTCTAAGTAATAATTCATACTAATTAAAATGCAGATTAGTCTATATATATTTCTGTAAAACTACAGTGCGCACATTCAAATTTGAAAGCTTCTACTTGTTCAGAAATGATTTAAAGATCTTCTTTTTTAAGTATTACTCTCTGTAGAAAGTGTCCATTTCATCTTTTGTTAAAACTACGTACAGCTCCAACTACTAGACCTACGCCTATGTAAATTTAATTTTTAGCCAAAAAACGCCAATAATCCTAAAGGTAACTCACAATAAGCAGCAAACCTTGTGTTTCATACATAGAATAATGGGTTTGTTGCAATATTTATTGGAACATCCTGTATATTCGCCGCTCTTTCGTCGGTTGAAAACCTTTTTGGCGACCAAGTATCATAACTCTAATCGACGGGATCATATTTATAATAAATAAGCTATTTAATTACTTTAGTTCAGTTTATTCTTAAGATTGGTTGCGAGAAATGACGCTTTCGCTACTGAATTACAGATTTCGTTTTGTTAATGATACATTCAATCAGATTTTATTTACTTGTGTTTTAATGCAATTTGTGCTGATGGTACATGAATTACGATCCCCGCTGCCCGCGCTAGTAGTAGCCGTGGTGGCCGTAGTAACCATGGCCGTATCCATGAAGTCCTCCGTAGTAGGAGTACGTGGGGGCATAGTGCACGGTCTTGTAACCTAATCCGTGGCCGTATCCAAGTCCGTAGTGCCCGTGGCCAAGACCGTGGCCGTATCCCAGGCCGTGGAGACCGTTTCCGTATCCCAGGCCGTGGCCAAGTGACACCTGTAGACACGTGCACGCACAATTATTCTTCAGTTGCACTGCAAAAGCCTTTCAGCTTTAGTGGACCAGATTTCATTTAAGAATTCAGTCCGTACCGCGAAGAAAACACTGAACTTCACCATTACAAAGATCAAGTGGTTAACGCTGTTTAAGGAAATAATCGCTGTTTACAGCGAGAATCATATGAAACTCGTAAAGTTGAAACTTATTGAAAATTGATGGCTAAAATTATCCATAATTAAGCTACATTAATAAAATTTCCAAAATTTCGACATTAAATAATTTGAGTTGTAGTTTTTGCGGCAAGGTATAATAATTTTTTCAGTATTTTAAAGAAAGCTCGTTAGAAGTCGGGCGTGTTTATATTTTTAAATTTTGTTAATCTTGTTCTGTCACTTTTAATGATTTATCCTCTGACTTCATACCATACCACAGGTATCAAAAGAATTTTTAAAATAATTTAATTTGTATATAAAACTTGGCTTCAAATTAAATATATTCACTCTATATTTGTAACATTCGCATATTTATAATTTGTAACGTCGTTTTAACACATTAATTTAAAACATGAAACAATGTAGAAATTTTGATACGACATTATATTAATTTCTTGATATATTATTTGTATGGTGGATTTTAATATATTTTTCCAAATATAACCCACGAATGTTATGTTTCGAAAATAATCCTCTAGCGTTGCAATCAGTTTTAATTTCCACAAAATATCCTGTGAACTTACCTTGCTGTACGACACAGCTGGGGTACTAACCACGGTCGGAATGTACCCTAGGCTATGGCCGTATCCATATCCCAGTCCCAGCAGTCCTCGCTTGTCTACCTTCTTCTGTTCGTGAGATTCCTCTGCGAAAACACCGAGGACGAGCAGGAACACGCAAACCTGACACACAGAACCAAATTCCACTGTAAATTGGTGGTATTTGGTGTCGTGGGGCACTTAATTATGTTTCGAAAGACGCTACCCTAAAGTGAGTTTTTGAAATAGCAAATTTGTAAATACTTCAATAACGATTTCTACTGTTGAAATTTCCTACGTTAAACGGAGAAGTTTCTGAAACTTATAACACGTTCGTTATGAGCAAAAATTTAATTTATAAAACACATCAAATCCACGATAACTCTGTAGGGACTAATATTAAAAATATTTACCGATTACTTTAACAGTGCGTTTCGTATGATTCTCAGATTAAACAGATTAATCCAAACATTTTGTTCATAATAACGCGATTATGTTGTGGAGTTTAACGAATATGTCAGATGTATTTTATGGACCGGAATAAAGCTTTCAGTTCTGTTCTACACGTCTCTAAGGTTGGTACGAGAGTCTTACATCTACAAGTCTGCAATATTGTAGTATTCAGGAATGAGAACTCGATGTTAAAAGCTTTTGTTACGCATCAGAACGCTTTGTGACTTCTCTGTGCGTCTGACTTCATCTCATTTCATGTGTAAACGTTTCACTACACTGCCCAATACGATACTTATGCTCCTCGTAGACTGCCTAATCTGAAGCTACAGAATCGTCAAACTTACTATTGTGTATTATACATAATATAAACTGTTATATTAAAATAATAAAATGACAGCTACGCAAAAGTTAGGGACTTTGGTGTCGATATACTTCTTCAGAGTGTAAACTTAAAAAAAAAATTAAAGCAACCTGTAATTTTGTTGAGATGTCATTTTCAGCTTACAAAGATTTTACGATACTTCTAAATTCTTTTTGTATATTACTTTAAATTAAAATTAACTATATTTTCATTTGTATTAAGTAAAATACACAGTCGAGAGACGAGAAATGATTCTAGAATTTCTGTCGGAATACCCGAAGGGAATACGTATGTGTTTGTGGAAATATAATATTAAAGTGGATCTTAATGTGTCGTTCAGATCCAAAAATTAACGTTTCATGATGTAACTCACCAAGACCTTCATATTGGTGCGATGTTTTTTGTTGTTTGTTAAACAGTGAATTGTAAGTTGACAACTGAATGCCACGAAGTTTCCAGAATCCTTTTATATATAGTACAAACTTCCTGTGGTGGGGGAGGGGTGCTAGAACAGGAGGGGAATTTTACTTTTAATATCTCTTCCCTTACTATTTTATTATCTCTAAATCTCTTTACCTCTCTCTTTCGCCCTAACGGTATAGCATGCTATAAGAAATGTTTACATCACATTCATTAAGGCTGTAGAGAGGAAGGGATATTTATCTTGAGGATGATGAAGAAATTTTGTTTTCGTGTGGTCACACTTCCTTCGCTTACTGCGATGTTCCGATGTTTCTCAACATTTCCTCTGACAGCCAACGTGTGTTTATAATTTCACGTTGTTCAACCTCCAAGAAACACACAGAGATGACCCTGGCACTTAAAACTTTTAAATCGCTGTGGTAACGATATTTACCACATGCTTTAATAATTAATAAATGTATTTAGCAGAGTGCATTTACGTGTTTCGTATGATTATCAAAATTAAAAAGCTATTATTATTAATTAAACAGGTTCAGATAAAACTAACCAGTTGATCGTTGTCATGGAGACGAATTTGTGTTCATATAGACTTGCTTTGGCTTCTAGGGGTTGATCTGGATAGCTAAAGACATTCGTAAATTTAACACTAGATGGAGGTGGTCAGCTTCAAGCCCAGGCCGCTTTACCCCCTGTAGCCAAGGGGAAAATGTCTGCCCCTTCCGGGACTCAACCTGTCGTCCACTCTTCATCGTAATGTAATTAAACCGGTTCAGATAAAAAGTAGTTTTTGAGGTTTTCAAGGCGGTTATTTTTAAGCCAGTAACTTTGGGTTCGGTTGTAAACTGACGTTTCAGAGATAGTTGCAACAAGATTATTGGTCACAGAGTGACAGTCCTTGTCCTGTTATTGCCTCTATATTTAATTTGTTTATGTTAATTATCAGTGATGACTTACAAATAGATTAAAACAGTGTAAGATGGTAAGCAAAGACGTCTAGTATAAGATTTTATCAAAATTGGTCCAAAGGTTCTCTAGTTATGAGATGTTACAGAAAAATAAATCGGACACAGAACATGTTTAAATTTTTTCCTCTACGATGTTAGTTAAACACATTTTGTACTGCTATAAATTTGCAGAGAGATTTGCATAAAACATCTGGTGGCTGTTCATGAACGTGAAGTGTCTGTTGATATTTTAACGATTATTATTTTAATCGATTTCAAACCGAGGACTTTACAGACAAATGTAAATGAAGCCTATCGGTACAATTGCGTTATCAAACCATTTCAAATTTCGTTCCATGTACAAAATGTGGTGAAAGTATAGTTTTGTATCTTTGAGGTTTTAGATACGTGAGGGTCCGGTGGAGGGCTTTGGTTAATTCGGTGATGAACCTTCGGGTTCGGTAAGCCATCTAGTTAGTTAGTTAGTCGTTTTAAAATACGATATAGGATCTACCCGACGTTTAGGCTGCAGTTTTCAACATCCCGATTAGGTGATAAAATTACAAATTAATTTTATTTTTAGGCTCGAATTTAGGAGACGTTTCAGTTACGACATTTCGTTGAGTTTTGTCCGGGTATACTGTGTTCATAGTAAAGTAGTTAGTTCTGTTTACCATGTCCCATTTCGCCTTAATCTAAAATAGGTCTGTAACAAGTTCCGTTATTTCACACAAAAAGAGAACAGTAGAAATGCAATGCAGGAAGCATAACGTCAAGGTCCCTGGCCAAGGTCTGCGTGCGGTTGTTATGGCAACCACCTTGCAATTACTTCATACTTTTAACATTACATCTCTGATTATTATTCGTTACGTTATGTACCTGTCGAAGGCAGACTTAAAGTCGATTCCCGATAATGAAGACTGTCTGGTTGATGGGCGCCTTTGTTAGTTAAATTATTTTTGTAAACCTACATATTTTAATCTTTCAGGCACAGGTTCTGATCCTTTAAAGAACTTTGGTAAGAGTGCGTGTTACCTGCTTTACCAATCAGTTGACATAAACCCACGATGTGTTTGTTATCTTTAAGATACAGACCGGATTTTTAAATATCGTTTGGTCTAACGTCGGCTTCATATGGTTAAAACATTTTTAATTCTGTGCAAAAGACAAAATGTGGCTTGTATTTAAAATTTTTAAGCTGTAAAAAAATTTATTTTAGAAGTTAGTGGCTAGTGTATTCACACAAACGTTGTCCTAATATTAGTATTATCCTGTCTTCTTACCTCAGACACACTTAAACTGCGTTCTTCGCTTAAATTTTCATTAAATAAATCATAATAAATAAAATATAACAAATCTAAACATCGTTTTGTACCAGTATTAAAATCTTATTTTATTAGAGTGTAACCTTTATCTACTACTGAGTGTAAGAATGCGTGGCGCTATACCTCCACTCCACCATACGTCATAATGTCGTAGTGCTTAGGGAAGGAACAGTTTTACATTTTGTCAAAACATTCTAGTAGGCCAGTCCACCTCAGATAGTAATGCGGACTTTTTCGTGACAAACAGTAATTTGTGTTTATCCTTAATTATCATCGTTAATTATCCTTATCAACCTAAATTAGACAGAAACGGATAGGAAATTAGCAACGCAGACGTATTGATATGCAAAATCGTGTGTTTACATCAACTGGACACACGCCAGTAAGCAGATGACGGTTCAGTATTTAGACAGAAATGCATTTCTGTGTCTCTGATAATTACAGCTGATAAACAAGAGGGGGGAGGGGTGGTTCATCAATCAGCAGGTTTTTCGCTGTCGGCGCTAAGGGCGCGCAGGCTCGAGATGGCGAAATTCTGTGAGACCGAGTCCACAAGTAGAATTGTTTTGAGCTGTAATTAACGTGTTCACACGTCAGAGCAGATGAGATTCAGCCTTGGCGCGTTACACCGTTAACTGACACTGATAGCCGACCTCAGCGGTACTTTTCACGCGAATCATGCTTTACCTATCAGAATTGCAAGCGAAATTTTTGAAGGAAGTGACTATGAATTTCGAAGCTGCGTGGCTTTTTTAACACAGCAATTTGAATGGAGCTTTGGAGACTTGAAAATAAGCGATATTTTATCGTAAATAACTTCATTTTCTGAAAGGTATCAGATTATCACTGACGGTAGATTCTTTGATGAAAACGAAAATTGTGTTTTGTAAGAAATAATTTATTTGTTTTACGTATTGTCATTTTTTTTTGATAATGTATATCGATAATTCAAATATGTTCGTAAAGTATGTAGCCTAGCAGCGACGTATATAGGAAATTGGAGGAATTATAATATAATTAGTTTCTAGATTCATGGTTAATCAAAAAATTAAAATATCAGCGCCGAATAGACTCGTCGCTAGAGGCCGACGTTTCGAAAAATCATACTTTCTCCATCTTCATCATTATCTGAAGGTGGGAACGAGTCTACACGGCGCCGAAATCCACAAGAGCAGTATTATCATTATCACCGCAACGAAAAACCTTAAATCTCACATTAATTTAAAATATTTTTGATGTTGTGAGAAATTTGACGGAGTTTTCATTTCTGGAGATTGGAAAATACGTTGCATTAAAAAGTTTCATTTTCCAGTTTGGCCAATTTATTTATTTAAAATAAAAGCTTATTCCAAAAGAAAAGTAACCTTATTATAAAAGCACTACAAAATACGTCCCTTGAAAGCATAAAATAATGAAACAGAATACAGAATCAATGTTTCGATAAAATGGTTCTTTTGAAACCAATATTAACAATTTCATAAATTATATAGATCTGTCACATTTTGCGTTCAAAGAATAATATTAAATTTCAAGTTATCGTTCGCTGGGTGGATAATCCATATCATGATCTGAATTTATACATGAGAACTGACAAATACAAACTTTATATTACAGATTTTTCATCATCTCTGGCTGTTCTGTCGGTCGTAAGGACATGATAAAAGAGAAATATTTTAAAAATCTTTAAAAAAAACACATTCAATTCTTATCAAAATTATACCATAGAACAATCACAACTGGGTTCAAACTTCAAATATTCTTAAAACCAAGCAGACAAACAAAATGAGACTTAAAACATTTGATTTGCCACCGAGATCAAAGATCCGACTTACATACCCACGAAAACAGCACAAATTGTCCATTAATCCCCTCCCAGAACCAAATTATTGCGGATGTCTAGTTGTTATGGACATCCCATAACCTCACTTTTCCATATCAACATGTTACGCACAACAACGGCACCAAGCTCTTCCCCCCCCCCGGGGCACCACTTAGGACTAGCAAAATTTATTGTCTGTTAAAAGCTCGACAAAAATGTAGCTGCCTTCCTCAGGGCCAAAATGTTTTCCGCTTTATTTAAAATAGCTTTTGTTTCTCTCGGCGATAAACAGTCGCATATTTTAGCTAAGGAATTAGTAATTATCTTGTATTTAAATCTACACTGTAAAAATTTGATGACGTTACGAAAAAACAACGTTGGCTCGTGTACAGTAATGTCGACCTGAAGGAAACATTAAAAGTCACAAAGAAGGGAATTATTTCATCGTCTACTCATTTTTCCGCCACAATCAATAAAATATCGCTATTCAGTAGTTGGTACACCTGCTTTATGTTCCGGGGGGGGGGTGAAGGCCGGAATCGATTCGCGGTCCATAGGCTGGCTGTACCAATTGACTTTTCTCGTGATTTACAACCACTGCCGTATGTAAATTCTAGGATACAGAATAAATACGCCATTAGTCCTTTCTTCCACATTCTTCCCAATTGATCACTGATCTTCCTTGTTCCATCCCCCCCTACTTAACACTTACTTGATAAAGAAATATTAGGGGTAATATTCTTCGCATCTGAGCGTTTCTCTGTTGTTCTTCAAGAGGCGCTGATTTTTTACACTTAAAATTCTAGTCTTCTCAGGTTGCCTTAAATAAATAATGGTAAGATCTTTTCCTTGGTCAGCGCAAAAAGAATTAATTTAGTAATTATATCCGTGCGTAACAAACTTTTGAAACGTCCTGTAGACCACCTACTGTAATTCGCAGTAATTATCGAGTCAGAATAAAAGAGCATCATCACTTACAGCATCGAATTAATTATTTGTCTGCCTTTGTCAATACATCCGGGCCCCAATTTGGCCAGTGTAAACAACTGATGACGATAAACATAACCTGATTTGAGAGTAGAAACTTCGTGGCCCCAAAGATTATCGGCGAGTTGCCTTTTGTTTTAAAACTTTAGAATTTTACGTGCCTCTGACTAAATAAAATTGTTGCAATACAATGACTAGGTGTATATGACATATGAAAATATACGAGGTTTAATTAGCCTTCAATATAATAACGAATATACGAAATTTAATACAAATTGTGGAGCATCAGTTGGTAGTAAGATTGTGAGAAATTTATTCGAAAAATATGAAAGGAGGGGATTGTGGTGTGTTCTAAGGCAGGTTTCGAAAATTACTTGAAGGAACTTGGGGAGAATCTAGAGAAAATCTCGATTCACGTGAGAGGTTAGGATCTTCGTAATTGGTATAGTACGTGGGTCTTCTATCGTAAAGACTCAAATTGTGTGTTGCTAGGAGCTGCTAAGATCTTTTCTTGAAACGTACAAGAGGATAAATTGATCTAAGTGAAAAACGATAAATTAATTTATACCTGCTTTTAGTTGTATTAAAAATTACGTATTCCAAAAATGATGACGTGGACTGCGAGTAAAAATTCTGAAGTTAAAGTTTTTTCTCAGTCTTATGTACCATTGTATCGGGGGAGACGAAAACAGAATGGAGCACCATCTACCGGCAGAATGATAAAACACGTTCTCTAAACTCAGAATAATTAATTAAAATACAGTCATTAAAAAAAACGAGCTGGTGCAAACGTGTGTTGTCCCGGTGTATAGAGGGCAGCAGTGTGTTCATTATTATTAAAGAAAAACTATTTCAAATTTATTCTGTATTCCATCTCATTTCATTTACACAATATAAAACACTGCATACCTAATACTTGGGGATAACTGATGATTTATGACAGAAGCCGCCTCAAAGATGATAACTTTTGTAGCTGATTTATTGTTGTCTAGATTTTTTATAATTCAGATATTAATCCCTTGATATTGCAGGTTCTCACGGAGACGAATAAAAATATGACTGTCTTCTGAGATGTTGCGCCGTGTAGACACGAAAATTAGGCTGACGTTTCGCAGGTGTTCACTACTTCCATCATCAGGACGCCAGTTTCTACGAGCCTACAAGGCGAAACATTTCAAAGACGCTCATTTTCAATGATTACTCATTTCCTATGACGCCGTCGAATTCTACACGTAAAATCCATGGCCACTGCCATGTCCCCCCACGTCAATACCAGCTCCAAAGCCGCCGTAATGTGATCTGAACACGTTGTTTTCCTCAGAGGCCTCTGGAGACTTGTGGCTCGCTCCCTGAGTCACGAGGACGCCGTCCGTAATATGAGTGACGCTTACGTCGTGGGTTAATATCGGGTCAGGATCGTGGGTAAGAGTTGAAACTTTATGAACCACCGTGTGTGTCACCGGAGAATCATCTTTGTCGTGTTCCATGACCGTCGTTAGAATATGATCCTGATTTGTTTGGCCGTGGTTAACTGTTATCATGGTTTTAGTCAGGCACTCAGGCGTGAGAGTTAGTGTCGACTGTTTCGAGAGCCCGTGGCTTCTTTCAAAGTTCAACGCTGCTATTGGAACTAGAGAATGGTCCACGACTGTAACTGTCGGTGATTTCGTGACTCCGTGCTCAGATAAAGTAGTTGTCGTCACGTGAGTGATGGTAGGCACCAATGTGTGTGTCACGTGTACCAATCCGTTCACAGGACCGTGGTTCTGATCTCGATCAGCGACGTTTTTCGAGATGCTGTGTTGGGATGCGTGGTCGTGGGCGAGGTATCTGTTAGGCTGGGACTGTGTTGACTTCGTAGCTTGGGACGACAACTTGTGGGCCAGGCTTGGGCTGACGCTGGATGTCTCCGCGGTGGACAGCGGATGTGGTACTGTTTCGATTTCATGGGTCAAGCTCAGAGTATGATGAATTTCGCCGATACCGAACACATATCCGAGATTCAGTGGTGATCTTCTGGTGATTTTATTCTCACCGTCGGGTTTGATGATTGTGGGTAGAGAAGATAAAAGAGACGCAATGTTGGTAGGACTGTAATGTGTCTCGTAAGACGGTGCGATCAGGAAACATGTGACTAAACATAAGTGGTTACAAAATTTCCTGATGATCCAATGTTCCTGTAACATAAACCGAGCAGTTGTTTTAGTAGTAGAAACTTTGATTTTAATTTCACGTATTAAATCAATCGAAACGAAAAATGAATTCCCCGACAACTATTCAGCGTAGATGCAAATACCAAATTTATACCATATCCATCAAGTAATTTCGGAGAGTATTATCTTAAGTACTTTGCGAGAGAAATAAATACTAAAATTATATAGGCCTAATTTGAATAATGTTATTTATTTTGTGAATAATTGATTCACTGATGACCGAGTGAATGTATTTGTTACTACTGGAAAAATAAAATATAATTTGTAGTCTATAAATGTTTTTAAGAGTATAAGAAATTAAGTAGTATGGTACTATGCTCAGTTACGTTTAACTCATTAATGCCATGTTCAGTGTCTATTCTGTGTTATTACAATGTTATTTTACTTACAAATGACCAAAATCATCATCATCACAAGTTCTTAATTAAAAATAATTATATATCTATTGCCTAAATGTGGTCCTTAGTAACTGCAAAAAGTGAATTGAACTTGAAAGTTCTTAATTAAAAATAATTATATATATATTGCCTAAATGTGGTACTTAGTAACTGCAAAAGTGAAATTTAGAGGACTGGATTGACCTTGGCAAATATATTTTAATGAAGTTATTATTTTAACACCTGTACAGAACGTTGAAGTTGATTAATCGTGGTCATTTTCAGTCTCTGAAGCCTCAGGCGGCTGTCTGACCCCCTATTTAATGACCACGTTTACGTGATATGGAAATTTGGTGAGAACATAATGGTTCCATATGCATGTTTTTTTTTCCCAGTGAGCCTATCACTTGCCAATACGAAATAATCTCTGAACAGTAACAGTAGAAAAGAATCGAAAAAAAAAAAAGGTTTTAAAACACAAACCGTGTTAATCTCTGCATTTAACCAATGAAACAGAATTTTCTATGCCATTACCGTCTACAGTGGAAACTTGATGATGAAATAAAAATTGATCTGTTTCAAAATTAGATAATATAAAAAAAAGTATAAATCACTCGATTCAAATCATTGTACTGAAATCAAATCGTCACAGGAGCGCTGCAGTCACTGACGATAGGAGATTACTTTGAAGTATGGCTGACGTAACGCGGAGTGTAATTAAAAAGCTTCCCAGCACTAATACAAAATTCCACAGTTCTGTTATCACAACTGTAAAGAGCACTTTGAAATTCGACAAGGAATTATCTCATCCCTAACCTCCAAAAACGTGTCGTTACATAAGAACAACAACGAAAAATAAGCCGTCTTATGCGATTGGTCAGTTGAAAGATTTCTGCGCAAGCGCGCTCTGTTTCCATTTGCAATACACACGTTCGTCATATCACGTGGTATATGAGACTGGCCACATCTGTCGCTAAAGTGAATGTCTGCTACCGTACTGGCTGGACCACCGTGGTTCGATTCTCGGCAGGAGCAGAATTTAGCCATCAACGAGATACGCTGTGGCATATTCGGTTCATAAACACGTAGCCATCTTTTTATTTATATATAAAAAGGAAGGAATCGATTTTAAACACGTGATCACTACGGTAGTCAATGTTAGGTTATACAAATGAGCTTGAATCTTAAACTGACTCAACTACTCGAGAAAAGAAATTGTACCACTGTTATTATTGTTAGTTTTGTTATTAATTATATTATTATTCTTACAAAGTGGAATATTTACAATATTATCTAACATGTTATTGATAATATTTATTATTTTTAATTTCAATGACAGGTGTTTAAGAATGAAATAATTACAGAGAAACACCGCTTGATATTAAAGGTCCTACGTAGTTACTGAAGCATTTAAGAATTAATAATATCAATTATCAACGTTTGGAGTCGGTTGATCAAAGTATTTCCTGTCAGAAGTTGTATAACTTTCGTCATAACTTCGCTTGGCTCTTAAAAATTTAGGACGTGTTTTTGTGGAGCTGTGCTGTTTGAAAGCAAACATGTTTGACAAGTAGGTAGTAATTTTCTTCTATTAAGTACTACGAAAATGTTAATTACAGCACATTTTCGGTGAGATGGTATCCTGTACCATTTAAAGCTACACGTGAACAGAACAATGCAGCGTCTGGTTTGCTTCAAAGAGACGACATTCCTTTTATATTCAGGATTATAAGACAACTATTTCTTACGTAAGAGCTTACATTAGCAATGAACTTCTTAGGTAAAGATATACACACAACACATGCATGATTAATTATACCGTTCTGCCTAATCAGGTGGTTCAAGATACAAAGTCATTGCCTTGTAGCAGATACTCCACCCTTCTCATTTAAACTTTAAAACTACGTAATCGAGTACTTTTAAGAATTTAACAACGGTATAAGTTAACGTTTTATACGATAAATATTAAAACGTGGCGTTGTTTACTTACATGACACATTTTCTTCATAGTTTTATTGACAGGTGTAACAAAAAGTTGGTAATTTCACTGGAGACACAGAATATAACGTTCGATCTGTTAGGTGGAACGACTCATTATGATTCTGTGCCACTTTTACGTTGGCTACTGAACATATGTAACCACCCTAAGTAGCAAATCTTGTTACAATCAGGCTTTCTTTACAGACTTCTAAATAGTTTTGCTGTATTTCGTGTTAGTTGTAAAAAAAATATCTCAACAGAATAGTTGTACAATTCCATGGAAGATATTCCGTGTTTTCACGTGATGGGTGGTTCGTAAGTAGGCCAGCAACTTTTCTGGTGCTAATTCCTCGGTAACACCTTAAGTAGAAACTTCAGAGATTACAAACAAGTTATTAAATGCGTATATTTACCTTCTGGGTTGTAACGTGCCGTGTCCACTTGTAGGTAGGTACCAACTTCAGCCCTGAAGATGGAAGCTATATGTTTTATCGAAACGTTGGTATCTACTTGGCGTTGTTTTCCAAAATATCAGAATCGACTCTTCATTTCCATGACACCCTCAGATGTCAACTGAGGATTTTTTTTTAATGACATTGCTTCAGCTGTGGATGTTATAATCATGGGAGAATTATTTTTCGTAAACGTGTTTGGACGTAAGAAAAAATGGGGAAGCAGCTGGAGAAAATCACGTAATGAGGAACTTTATAATTTATACACTTTAAAAGTGTTATCGGGATTATTAAATCAAGGATAATAAGATGAACACTGAATGTAGAATACTCAGCGTCTAACCGAAATACACGTAAAATTTCAGGCAGAAAACTAGAAGGAAGGGCATCACTTGAAATCTTGTTTCTAAACGGGAGGATAATATTAAAGTAGATCTTAAATAGGTTCTGAGAATGTGGGTTGGATTGAGCTGACACAGGATATGATCCATTGGTGGGCTTTTGTGAAAATTTTAATGGATTCAAGGTTACAATTAAAAAATGGGAGTATCCTTGACCAACTGAGAAGTTAGCGTGTTTATGAAGAAGAAGAAGAATCTGTGCGTGATTTAGTTATCAGAACATTAATTTTAATTCTTTTAGATAAAAATTTATAATCGCATATTTTGATATACGACATTGGGTGCCTAATATGATTTTATGGAGTTTCAATTTATTAAATATTAGGTATGTTTTGATATTGAAACACGACACTCACAGACTTATCGACTGATAACAGCGCCGCAGATATAAATTTTTCCAAACTAACATAAAATAACAATTGACATTATAATTCCGTAGTAAGTTTAAACATGGCGGACGACGACAGCTGATTTATAATTAAATAGTCTCCTTTGTCGATATATTAGGTTGACGCCAACTACCAAATGCTGTTTAATTAATTCAAACGCTTGTCAAGAACTTGTATTGTATGCGTGCGTGGTGTGTAAATCCTCTATGCTGCGTTGCATGCAGCTCCACTAGCTTGTATTTGCCCTCGTTTCATGGTATTTCATTTACTTTCTTTCAACTTGTCTCGATTAGGGAATTTACGACTTCAAACCAGATACTGACATTTTTTTTTTCGACGTGGAATGACTTGCGAGATTTTCACATTGTCCTTGTTATAGCTAAGTAAAGCAACTCTGACAGCTAACAGTAACATGTACAAAACTTTTCATATCGCATCAATGGAACAAACGAAGGGTTAACAGCGCGTATATTCGACTGGAATGAACTATCAAAATTACGAAATATGTGGTTTTTCCACTGACGCAGGATAATAAGGTACTGGGATTCACGACACTAAACAGCAATACAAAATATGCACAGATGGGAATGTACCCTACTTCTAAACACGTAGAAAATACCTTCTTTGCCTGGTTTACATGTGATCACATTAAGACCCTGCGCGCATGAGTGGATCTTCTGCCGATTTGACGGAACTGTCTCCACAAAATTCAGCTCCCAACTGAAAATAAAACGCAGAAAATTCTTCCATTTCAACGTAAGTGTGCACAAGCAACAAGAATATGTGGTATCATAGTCACGTCAATTTTAGTCCATGGGTTTGCCGTATAGAAACCTTTGAAAATTTCAAGGTCATTCGGTAGTCATTT